CTTTGTAATGCTGTGTGCTTTTTAGTTTAATTATCTGTCAAAGTCGTGTTGAAATATTTGAATATATTATAGATAGATACTCACTTGTTTGCATAAACCATAACATTATTTATTACTTAATAAGGATTTATTTCACTTCAAAATCAATGCTAATCAGAATGACTTCTGTTTGATTTATGTTCAATTTTGCAAACACTCATCTAAACATACACTGAATTAGTTGTTCTGAGGTTGATATGGTGCTGGTATGATCATACCTGGATCTTCTATTGTGATATTTTTTGTTGGTGATGCAGGGCAAAATCCAGGGAAAACGGCTGCTATAATAGTAGGAGGAGTAGCTGCGGTGGCTTTTGTGGTTATATGTTTGTTATTTGCTAGAAGTTTGAAGAAGAAACATGATGGTATGAGTTATACGAGGCAATAAGAAATGATCTTATGATGAATTATATTATATGTTATACACTCTTTTGTTATTTTTATTGTTATGCATACTTTGTGCTCATTTTTCTGATAGTTTTTTGCTCTTATCTTACACAGATTATTGACAGAAGAATATGATTTCTGAGAGAAGGCAAAACTATTCTTTTTGGTGCATTGTTTTTGCATGTTTAGTTGATGGATGAAGGGGGAAAAGTTTGTGGTAAATAGAGCATGCTTGATACAGAAATAATACAGAATGGTTCAGTGTTATAGTTATTGTAGTAAGATAATATTGTGTTGTTGGGAAGAGCAATGTGATTAGAACATGAAAGTTAGATTCTTTTTCACAAGGGTGTAACTGTAAATTACCCAACTCAATGAATGAATGTTTGTCATTCCAAGTGGATGAAAATTTTGGACTTTACCTTTAGTCATGTGAGAAATTTCTCTTTCTTCTTTTCAATTCTTCATTGACTTTATGCTTTTTAAAAGTTGCAAGTTGCAACCCTCCCATGCTCCCAAGAGTCTTGTTTCTCTATTCCAACAAAATACTTTAGTAAGTTTTTTTTCTTTCTAAATTAATGTTATAGAAATATGAGTAAGTTAAAGTGGTAAAATTTACTATAGATATTATTATATTATATGTTACATTTGAATAACAAGGTAAAACTGTTCTGCTGTTCAACTACGTAAGCAATGTATGTTTTCTATGTATGCTCTATATTCATTAATTCACGGAAACTAATTTTGTGTTTGTTATTTCTGTTTTATTACATCAAGATTACAAATGCAAAAATTGAAAAATATTGCCGTAGTGTGTAGTGAGTGATAACAAGTATTGAGTAGCAATGTTGCTATCTTTATTTGGGAATCGCCGGAAATATTTATAAATTAGTTAATATTTTAATAAGCTATTTTAATACTTATTTAAAGAATAACAATTCAAACATTACTTTATTATATGTTTATGGAAATTAATTTAATTAATTTTTGTTATTGTTTATTGAAATTCATTATTATATAGAGACTATAAAATATATGTAAAAACATCTTTTAGAAAAGGAAGTATATTTTACTACTAATATTTCTTTTTTATATATTTGTTTTTATTTTTTTATTAAAGAGTGTGGATTGATTTGGTATTAGGAACTAAGAAAAATAATGAATGGTTTTGATGTTAGGCCTTTTTGGGTGATAATCTCCAAACTTCAAGCTTTAGTCAAAATTTAGTTTTCAATTCTCTTTTTACCATTAGGTCAGGTTAGGTGCTACGTATTAAAAGTAACTAACTACTTTGATACCAAACCTGTATTTATATATATTTTAGGATGAACTTCTAATTAGTGTTGTCCTAGTTAAAGACCAATACAATAATAATTGGGATTAGTATTAACATGATTATTCTTGTTATTAATCTTGTTTGTGGTTCAATCGTCCAGTATTGACCGCTCAGTTCATGGTTGACCGGGCGACTATACAATACATTGAGGAACAAACAAAACAACCCATAATGGTTGACACTAAAGAGAAAGAGTCTCAACGATGAGTTGAGATTACAAAAGTCTTCATTGATGAAATATAAAGAAGAACAACCTTAGCCAAAAATAAGTTAGCTCTAGAAAGGGTTGAATAGATCTTAAGAACATTTTTAAGTATTTTCACAATATGATGGTTAATAGATGGTCTATGATCTAGCATTTAATCACTTGAAGCAAATAATGCATGAAAATTATGTCAATATTTTGCATGATAAAACTTTATTTATTGACATCTTCAATAAGATAATTTAGATTTGCATGCAAATCTTTTGTTCACGTGTAAGAGAAGTAGCAAAGGTTAATGGTGTTTTAGCTTACATAATTCTCTATTACACTCAACTTGTTGTTTCAAAGTATCTTTCATGTTAAACATCGCTTTACATTCCATTCTAGTGTCAATTTTAGAACACGTGTGTAAGAAACTTGGTATGCTATGTTAGTTGTTTTATTGGAATGTAAGAGTCAACATGTTAATGGATTCTTGAGATGATGCAAAAAATTCAAACTAAAATTTTGTCTTGTAGTAAGCTTCACCTTGAACCTTTAGGGTGTGTTTACTTTGGAGGAAGGATTTGGAGAAGAGTGAGTGGATGAATTTGAGAAGATTGTGAATTAATTGTTGTTTATTTGAGTGAATTTGGAGGTAAATGAGAGTGGTTTGGAAGTAAAATTTGTAAGAATTAGTGTAGGATTTGATTGATGTGACAAATAAAAAGATTTGTTTAATTGGTAGAAATTAAAGATTACGAAAATGCCCCAAGTTATTAAATTAATATAAAATGATAATTGTTAATGTTATATTTAATTGTAAAAATGTTTATAAAGAGAAAAAAAATTAAAATTAATTTTAAAAATGTGAAAAAAAGTGTAATTTAGTAAATTAAAATAATCTTTTTTAAAATATAATATTTTTTTAATATAAAAAGTGGTATGTTTTAGTGAGACTAATAGTGATGAAAATTATTGGTGAAAGCCATTTAGTGTAATTTAGTGCACATATCATATTATATGTTGAAACGTGCAAATAAAGGGTAGGTGGTAGTTTGTTTATTTTTATCCAATTGATATTGCATGTCAGTTCATGGTACTTAGTGTAAATATGTGAAGTTTTAGCTAGTTATTTTGTCCAACCGCGTAAAATATTTCAGTAGGAAGCATTACAATATATAAGGCAAGGCACACTAATAAATAGGGATATAATATGCTTATATCAAATATCAAGGAGACAAC